TTTTACTAAAAAAGTAGTTAGGAAAATACTACATAGAATGTTAAGTTTTGTAATGAATTTTGTTAGAATTTTATTAGATTATTAATTTAATTATGTTTAGTAAAAAAAAAATTGATATAGAAAAAAATAGTAAGAAAAGTTGTTAAATAATCTATATAAAGAAAGATATAGAGAAATTGTCATTTTAAAATAAGTGATAAAAAATTTTACAAATTGAAAATTGTATGAAGTAAAATAAAAATTTAAGATGTCCTCCAACCAAACACCCCCTAAATGGCTGAAGGTTAGGGGGTGGAAGGGCACTCAGCGGATCAAAACCTTCCTGTGGATTGTTACGCTTGATGTTTGCCAACTAGAAGCTATATTTTTTGCAAGGCATTGTGCTGATTCTGATTGCTCCACACTCTGCGAGTCAGTCATTTGTGCTGATTCTTATTGCTTGATGTTTGCCAACTAAAAGCTATATTTTATGCAAGGCATTGTGCTGATTCTCATTGCTCCACACTCTGCGAGTCAGTCATTCATCTGCTAATTCTCATTGCTCCACAGTCTGTGAGTCAGTCATTCATGTTTTGAGGGATTTCCACTTGCTAGAACAATATGGTTGAGGCTAGTTTTTGTTGGGGGAGACATCTGGCCTGGGAAGACACATTTGGTGACTCATCACATATTTTGTTATTATCTTGAAATCAAAAGACTAGTTTAGTAAATTTATGAATTTTTGACATATTTAAACTGTATTTTCTCTTCATATTTCACTGATACAGGACTTCACTTCTTTACACTTATAAGGGAATAACATATTTGAAGTGATAGCCATATCCACAATCCAGTTTCCCAAGAAGATCCCCTTCAACAAACTCATCCTGGGAAGGCAGAATCAGGAAAGAAAATGTAAAGATGAGAAGAGAAGACAATGGCAGAAAAGGATTGAGAAATTAATGTCCTCAGTTGACATAAATCTCTAATCTACAGCAAGCATTCAGTGAATCTTACCTGGCAGATACTACATGCCTTGTGTTCCTCTGCCCCAGCAGCGGCAGGATGATAGATTTCCCAGGTCAGAAGGGCCATAGTTGTGTCTTCGGTTAATCCATTTTCAACGCCTGGATTTGGTCTACCTCATCTGCAATGATTCCGAGTTGCTCTTCAGTTCCTAAACATAAATATTGTTAATTATGGTCAAATCTCAGGAATAAATGACAAACTCTATGCTAAGTCATAGTTTTCTCTAGCCTACATTTAGAAATTAACACTCTTCACGCTTATAAAATCTAAGTAAATGTACCAATGAAGGGTTGGATCAAGTAGCAAGCGGTTTGTTCCAGTTTAAGCAAGATCTCGAGTTTGAGACCTTGTGTACGCAGCAGCCTTTGTTGGGAAACCCACCCACCATTCTGGTGCGCCACAACTGGTCGAGTATGGAGTAGTCGGGGCAAAACCCCGGATACCGGGCGAAAAACCAAAAAAAAAAAAAAAATCTAAGTAAATGCAAATTAATTGCCATAAAATTTTCTAATTTTACCTCTTAAAGTCATATAATTAACATCAAGAAGTATATCTTGGTAAACATACCAGGGTAAGATATGAACACTACCCATCTATAGTTCGTGTCTTCCTATTGCCATAAATTAATGTAACATTCTTTACTATAGGAATGAAAACAACTCTTAACAGGAACAATTCACCGGATTTAAGAAAACTGGGAACTTGATTACAAACACATGAATTGCTCCATCTTAGACCTTCCCCGTAAATGTTCACTGCCCACCCTTCTGAAAATGTCCATGGCTTCATAACCTATTATGGCAAAAGTAAAGGGATTTAAGTCTCTGATTAAAGATGGTTTAGAGACAGAAAATATCACTGGGTAAAATGGGAAGTGGAAAAAGGAATAATAATGAGTATTTTTTTAACCAGCTAGGACTCCTCAAACAATTTCCCATACGCAATAAAAATATACTAAACATGAAATTTTCCCTCTATTACTTTCTACTAGAAAGAAGCCACAACAACTTTATGTTTAAAGGTGAGAAAATGTCTTTGAGCTCATCTAAGACCACTTAAAAATTAGATTTAAAGTCGTAGGAGCAAAAAGCTTATGCAAGTTTGACACACGAAAACGCCAAGCATCGTTGTACATTACTCAAAATTTTAAGGTAAAAATAGGATATAAAGATCTATGCACGATATATATACTTTCCATTGAAAAAATCAAAATTTGTTAATATTCGTTCTAATTGAAGCTTTTTCTACATTTATTTTTGTAAAAACCAATCTAATTTTTTATTCTTAAATTAGCGACTTATTATTCTGTCCCTTTTTATTTTCTTTATTCATTACTCTCTTTGTCCAATAATGATGGACATTTTTTTTTTATTTATTTGGATATAATTTTTATTTTTATATAATTTATCCTTTTAAAAAATAAAAATAAAGAATCTTTTTTTATAATAGGATGGATAATTAGAATTAAGATATAATTGTATAAGATTAAAGTTAGAAAAAAAATGATTCAAAAACAAATTTTTTGTACAATATTTTTATATATTCTTATATGTCATTTAAATAATTAATTTTTTTTATTCATTTAAAATTTATGATATTAAATATGTTTACTTATTAATAACATATAAAAATCATATAAAAATATTATATAAAAAAACTTGTCTTTAAATCATTACTCATATAAAAAAAATATTTAAATATCTATCATTTGGAGAATGAAAGAGTACCATCGTAAAAGCCATTACTATTTCAAAAAAAAAAAGAAGCAAATTATCTTTTTTTTTTTTTTTTTTTTTTTTTTTTGCAAAACACATTCTGATTTCTTTTCTTAAATTTTCTTAATTACCCATTATACCGGTTTTCCTTCATTTATTGTTATAAAAACAAATATTACATTTTTTTTTCTTAAATTAGCTTTTATTCTTTCATTTTTTTCATTTTCTTCTGTAAAAGCCAATCTGGCTCTTTCCTTAATTAAAAGTTAGCAATTATTCCTTTCTTCCCTTAAATTAGCTTCTAACTATTTATGGGCACACTTTATTTTTTTTTTGCTTGGATATGAATATGTAAACAAACACTCATAGATATTACATTGTCTAGGGTGCGTTTGAAACTCATAGATATACATTATCTAGGGTGCGTTTGGAATTGAGTTGGAATTTTTTTTTTATAATAACCATACAATACTTTTAGATATATATGTTTAGTAATTTTTTTTTTCAAATTACTTTTTTTGAAAGTTGTAAAAAGTCATAATAAATCTATAATAATTATATATATATAACTAAACATTTTATTTTGAAATTTTTTTACTGTGATTTTTATGAATAAAATCTAATATTTAATGCAATGACAAAATTACCTATTACAACTATGACAAAACAATTAAAAGTACAAAAGCTTATGAAATACCCACCCAACCCGAAATCGAAACCTAATAATAATTGCCCTAACCATATTTCCTTTAAATAGTACTCTTTTATCTTGATTTCTTTCATATGGAGAACGAATGGTTTCTTTTCTCACTGTGAAGAGCATCAATGTTGAATCTTCTTTTAGGTGAGTATCAAAAAATAAATTTTTTTCTATTGATTTATTTAAATTAAAAATTCTTGATTTTTTTTTTTTGTCATTGTAATAATTAATTGTAATATTTTTCCATAAATTTTCATTTTACTATTCGTCAAATTAGAATTGACATCTTTCTTTTATTAATTATAATTATAATTGTTGTTAATTGATGATATTGAAACATGATTTTGCTTTACAATATTTTTTAGTAATTA